GACTTCTTGATAGGTTTTTCTCAATAAGATTCTATAGAGAAATCAATCTTAAAAAACCTTCAATCTATAAATGGATTATATCTTTTTAATCACAAAAATCTTAAAATGATAGGATTTAACATAGTTTTAATAATATTGAATATTATTTTGCTACTATGACCTTCAAATGATATACCTAACTCTATGATCTCATAAGTAATATTACTTGAAGGTAAAAGTCAACCATCTCTTATTTCTAGATATATAGGTTTTGACTTTTGTATTAGAGGAATTTTATGAAGTTTAAAAAATTCCTCATTTAAAAAGCATGCAGATGCTTTTAAATCTAGTAAGGCATTTATATGAAGTTTTTGCAAGCCAAGATATAAAGGTATAATTAACAATAAGCAGATTAGGTAGAAATCACATGGATCTTGATGAATTTGAGGTGTTTGATTGTTCAACTACACAGTCTTTATTATAGCTAGATGTCTTTGTTTTTTTGAACAATTGTACTTTCAAACTTCATTGTACGTTGTTTATTTGGACAATTTTCTAATTTGTGGCTTCCTTTACCATGATACAAGTATAAGCCTTCTTAAAATTAATTCTTCTTTTCTTCAATTATAAGAAGTTTGAATGGTACTACATCAATTTGTATATCTTTTATTCTAGAGTATAGAAGCAATATATATATATATATATATATATATATATATATATATATATATATATATATATATATATATATATATATATTGAAGCAACAGAGTATGAATTTTTAGTGCATTATTTTACCAAAGTCTACAAATGTAGATCTTAACGACATTAAAATTGTCAATTATTACACTTCATAGCTTGGCTCATAGCTTTATTAAATGTTTGAGGATTAGATAATGATAATAATAGGTCTTTTACATCATCTTTTGATCTTCAATAGAATTGGCTTATAAGAGCTTATTCATCTCAATTAATGTCATAAGCTAATTGCCTAAAATTAGATGCATAAACTAATGTAGAGCATGATCCTTCATATTTTCAAAATGCCTCCGCCAATGCTTCTAAAAAAGCTTCAAAGTCACTCAAGATTAGAGATCTCTTCTCAAATATAGAAACAAACTAACATAAGGCTTGTTTTGTAAGTAAGGTTCTAACTAAACCAACTTGCAATTCTTTTGTTGGATAGAGCTTAGGTTGTAGAAAAGTCACTAAACAAATTTGGTTAATAAACCTTCAAAACTTCAAGCATGTGCAATCAAAATTCATCTTCTTGGATAACTTCTTTAATCATCCTAGAACTTTCTAAAATCTACTAAAATATTTTGAAAACCTTTCAGAATCTTCTAAAATATTCTAAAAAGCTTTTTGAATCTTTTATTAGAATATTCTAAGAATCTTTTAGAACCTCTTATTAAAATATTTTAAGAATCTTTTAGAATCTTTTAGAACCTAATAGAATATTTTAAGAATATTTCTAAAATCTTTTTATTAGATGTCTATAACATCTATTACAACATCTTTATTTATTTAGCATATAATAGCTATGTTTTTTTTTCTTTTAATATAAAAACTTATTTTAGATTTTAAACATTATAATTATTCTTTTCATATTATAGGTCTTCAAATTTAAGATCCAAAATAAGCATAAATGATGTTAGTCCTATAATTTTTTTAAGCTTGTATAAAATAATAACAACATATTAAAATAAAAGAAATACCACTTATATAATTGGTAGACAAAGCAAAGAATTTGAATGAAGCAATATTTAGATCTCCATATTTTATAAGCTCTAGGAAGTAATACAAGAGACAAACATTAGACAAGATGAAGAATTTTTAGAATAGAAGTAATGTAGAAGCACTTAAAGACTTAGATTATGATATACATAGTAGTTGTATTAAAATCGAGTAAATTATCTTGAATTTCTAATAATTCTAGTAGGACTAATTTTAATAGATTCTAAAAGCATAGATTAACTAACATTATTTTTTATGCCTAATAACACTTTTGCAAAAAAGCCATAATATTGATACTTTGATATAATATAAAATTTAGGTTTATTATTTCAATAATATTTTGATGCAATTTAATAATAAATAATATACAAACTTTATAATTATTTTTGAAGAAGTCATAATTAAATATTATATTAATTTTTAAAAATAATTATTATCTAAATGATTGAAAAATTTTAAATATATATTTAAACTTATAATCAAAATAAGAAAAATAATCAATTAAAAAAATATTTTTTTATTAGTCATAAACTATTTATTAAACACTATATAAAGATTATTATTTTATTTTTGAACTTAAATTTCAAAAATTAGTTATACAATTATAAGCTAAAATAAACTTGATATTATAACTATATATAGATCAATAGTAATATTAATATGAATACATCTAAAATATGTATTCTTTTAGGAAATTAAATTTACTAAAGTTTTTACTAAGAATACTAATAACAGAAGTTATATCTATTTATATATTATTTAAAATATATATAAAAATTAAAAAATTATAGTAAATTTTAATTTATAAATTAAAAATAAAATAAAATAATATAATATAACCATTGAATAAATTATATCAAATTTTACAACAACACATATAAATCATAATAACCAAAATTGATTTATGAACATGACATTTTAAACATATCAATAAAAAGATAACACGTAATCTTATTTTTGGCCTTATTGAAATTATGTGTTCTTATATTCAGTTCTAAAAAAATCAGATTTTTTTTAAATTTCTGGTTCACTTTTGCACCTAAAAATGTAATAGATTGTATCTAAAAGTAATTTTTACCTCATTTAAAAGAGAATCAAATTTAATACATAAGTCATAAAATTGATTCTTAAAAGACCTTACATAAGACATAAAAAAATAAAAATAAAAATAGTCTTATTGATTAAATATATATATATATATATATATGAAGAATAAAGAAATAAACTATCTAGTATTAGATTCTTTTTAGCTAAATGGTAAGTCAATATAATTAGTCTTTTTTCTTAAGATTCTAACTAATATATAGATTTATTTATTTATTTATTTATCAAAGCCTTTTATAGATCATACATTCAAAGATTAAAAAAAAAAAAAAAAAAAAAAAAAAAAGAAAAAAAAAATCTATAGATTTTGTTTATAATTATAAAAAATAATAATTATACATGAAATGAAATACTTGATTCATTGTTAATACATACATATGTATATATATATATATATATATATATATATATATATATAAAATATAATATAATATAATATAAAAGCCATTATCCAATAAAATTAAAGTGAGAACAAAAGTTCGTAAGTTTTATCAATGACATCTTTAAAAACAAAAAAATCATTTGTTAAGACATGCATAAGAAAGAAAAGCAAGAAAAATAATAAAAAATTCAATATATTTTTTTTTTTTTGCAAGTCAAGGTTATCTAGTTGTATATATATTATATATTTAAAAATTGAAGTCAAAAGATTTCTATAGAATTTGAAGGCTTTGAATCTAAAACTTTCTTGTTGCAATTATTTGACAATTTCTAAATAATCATCACAACTTTTATTATCATACATACTCCATTAAATATGGTATGATTTTTTTAACATTTGGTATGATCTTATTCCAAAACTATTTGATACAAAAAATTTAAAAATATTGTTCAACCTCGATTGTACTACTATGGTTTAAAAGTATTACACATTGTGTAGTAAAGAGGTTATTTTATAAGGATTTCTTGAATTTAAAAAAATCAAAATTACTCTTTTAAAATAATTCATGAATATCATTAAGTTGCAACTGTTGTTGTTACTTATCTATTCTTTGATTAGAAATATGTATAAAAAAATATTCATTAGAAAAATGTTTTAATAAATCTTCACTTTTTAGAAATGTAAGATATAGCCTATTAAAGCTCACCTTCAAAAATTGGCTATACAAATCAATAAATTACCAGTATACAAACAATGTACAAACTTCTTTGACATAATTTGATATACTTTGAATATAATTTACTCAAAGACATTAACCACTGTTTGTATCAACATGACATGTTGCAAGTTTTGCTGTTTGGTTTTTCAATTTAACATTGATGTAAGATAAAATAGAAGTAGAAATGACATAAAATCAAGGTTTGTCAGGCAACATTAAGCTATATATTACCACCAAAACCTATAATACAAAATAATGAAAATAGAAGAATATTCGAACAAATTGAATTTTTATACGTTTTTTGAATTGAAATCTTCAAAGAGAAATATTGATTACAAATCTAATAAAATACATTACAATTACATTATCTAAATTTTTAATTTTATTTTCAATTTACAAAAATAAATATCTTTATGATGAGAATTGAGATCTGAAAAAAAAAAAAAAAAAAAAAAAAAAAAAAAACTTACTAACTAACTAACAAACATAATAATAATAATGCTACAGTTAAAACTGTACGTGGACATAATAGCATTGCAAGCCCCAAAACTTACAGCAGGAATGCACTTTTAGCAATGGAGAAATATCACAAGCCCATTCTAGATCTCCATCATTTTGTTAATGAAAAAGAGGTTCAAGATGTAAAAAGTGCAGTAATAATATCAAGAGAAAAGCATTGTATGAAGTTCAGTCTTCGAAGACAAGCATTGGAATTCTATTTGGGGCAAAGAAAGGAGAAAAAGGCACTTCAAAGCAAATGAATACACTTCGGCTGGACCTCTGCATGAAGTGACAAAAAAAACAAAAACAAAAATAAAAAGGAAAAGTAGTTGCGCAAGGTGAAAACAGCCCAACTTTATTACCCAGCGTAACTTTATGGAAGAGGAGAGGGGGTAAAATATCTGGACAACATTATCCCTCTGGATCGCGTTCTTGGCTCCTATTCGCTCCCACGCAATCCCCAACCCCGGAGCCCGCACCGGGCCTTTCACAGGGTCCACTGAAGGATTTCGGATCCTGACCCGGCGAGACGCAGGGCCACCGCTTCTTTGCGGGGGCTGCTTTTTGTCCACCTAAGCTTTTTGAGTTTGGGAGTGTGGTGGTGGCTATGGAGGCGGAGCTCGCTCTCGTTGGTCGACTTCCCCGCTCGTCCAGCGCCTTTCATTCCTGACCTTCATTTTGCCCCTTCTGCTGCACGCATTGCAGCCAGTTGCTTCCAAGTCTGACATTTCTTCCGCCGCTTGATACGAATGGAGCACGCTGAGCCTTAATTCTCTTGTCCGATAGTATTTTCGTTACCAGCTATGTGCAGTGCAGTGTGTTGTCGCGGCATTTTCAAGGATTTTGTGGGACGAGAATTTTGGTGTTGAAGGGATAGAGGTAGCTGCTGTGATGTGAATGTATATTTGGCGTATTATTCATCTTGTGATATTCAGGTACAGGCAGAATTCGACTCTTGGAAAGTAGTTGGATTATGAGGTTGTTGTTGTTGTTTTTTGTTTGTTTTCTTTGTGTTGCTTCGGATCTTCGCGGTTGAAATTGATGTTGCATTTATTGTAGTTTGGTAATTTACGAATTACGCATTGATCTTGACAGGGTATGAGGGTCTTGAAGTTTTTGGTTCGCGGCCCTTGTTTAGTTTGAGTGTCTCAATCGTGGTGAAGCCCTGCCGTCTGGAACGTCAGGGATCTTCTTCGCATCCAAGATGGCGCATGCATTAGGTGTGATCGGTCTACACGGACTGCAGCTATCACAGACTAAACAGCACTATGGGCAATCACTGCATGTTGAGAGTTACTCGGGCAGATTTCAATATTCACAAGACACTGCTGGAGCCGCATGCTTCCGTGATAAACCTTCGCCTCCTGTTGTCGCTAGTTCTCTAACCAGTAGTAACGAGGAACAGATTGCAGTGAAAAAGGAGAAGACGAGAGGGTCCTTGCGGAAATGCAAAGTCGCAGGACGCGTAGAGCTACCATCTCGTGATCAACAACAATCAGTCGCTCGTGCTCTTACAGTGCTCCACGAGCATATATCCGGTGTTGCGTTGCAGAACATTGCATTGTCGGAGGATGAATTGTCTCGATATTCGAGTATTTTGCCTGACGCCTCTACTCTCCTCCGTCGCTCAATGCTTGAAGCGCAGTGGGCATTAACACTCAAAGAGCTTATGCATGAACAGAAGATGGAAGAGCAGAAGAATTCTAGGCGGGCAGGCAAAGGAAAAAAGAGTTTTTCTTTGGAAGTGACTGAGGACGTATCCCCTGGGAGTACCTCAACTGCTACAGGAGATCTGGCAGTTGAAGATCTTACAGATGAAGAGAAGGTCACAGAGCGAAAGGTCACAAGGCGAAGAGGTAAAGGGAAGTTGAAGCAAGTTGAGCGGAAGCAAGATACTAGCCTACAGGAAACAGGAAATGTCCACACCGAGGGCTCAGAGGAGGTGGTGGATTACTTTAGGTCTGGAGAGCAATTGAAAGACCTAAATACAGCAAGGCGGGGAGGTGAAGGGAAGCTGACGAAGTTTGAGAGAAAACTAGATTCTAGCTTAGTGGAGGACGCATGCCCCGAAAGCACCTCTACTATGACGACAGAGTTGGTGGTGAAATCCGGCAGTCCGTCTGCTCGTACTCGGCGCCTGGAATCTCGTCAGAGACGTGTTGCAATTGCAGGGAAGCCTACCTCTCCAGATGCTCTTACGATCCACCCCTTGAAGAAGTATCAGAAGGGAGAACGTGTTAGGCGTGTCAAATTTGATGGGGTTCAGGACTACTTGACTACTTACCTGCGAGAAATTACGAAGATTAACCTACTGACGAAGCAGGAGGAGGTTTTTCTGTCTAAGAAATTGAGAATCGGCCTCAATCTTTTAGAAGAGAGAAAAAAGTAAGTTTAAATTCTTACTTGATTTTCGCCTCATGCCCCTTTGTCCCTTAACTGTCTGAATTGGTTTGTCACAAGTGAGACAACGTAAAGAGATTAGATTGCAAATTGTATGCATTGAAGTACCTTAGAATTCATGAAATGTCCCGGTAATGCTAATGTTTGTTAAAGATTGGATTAATTGCTGGTAGGGAGCGCTGCTGGCCAAGTCGCTGGTATTTGGGTTGTATGACATGAATACCTCAAATTGTTTACATCGGCTTCTGTGCTTGGTAGAGATCACACGATTGCTGATTGATTGTGGTATTGCAGATTGGCTGCCGAGCTTGGTTATGTACCCTCTAATGAAGAGTGGGCTCCTCACATGAACCTATCGGTAGGAGATTTAGTGAGGAAACTCGGAGAAGCAGAATGGGCGAGAGATAAGATGGTGATGGCAAATTTGCGACTTGTAGTTTCTGTTGCAAAACAATATCATAGCTTCGGACTTGAGATGGCAGACTTGATTCAGGTGCATTCTTTGTCACTCCGTGTTATTTCTAGCATTTTAAAGCATTTCACCAAACGATTCAGTAGGTGCAACGGTTGCAAGTATTGTGCTCCTGAACCATGAAATCTTTCGGGACACTTAGTGTGGATTTGATGATGTCCTTACTGTCAATACTATCTGCGAGACTCTATGAATGGCTTCGTCACAGATAATCCTCCATAGGAAGTTTCGCACATTAATGCCTTTTACCTGACACTCGTACTCACAGGAAGGTTCCATCGGATTGTTACGTGGGGTAGAGAAGTTCGATCACACTAGGGGATACAAACTGTCAACTTATGTTCATTGGTGGATTCGCCAGGTAATCATACACACGCATCACACTTGAAGATCTTACTGAATTGGTGTCAATCGATTATTTTGCGTTGTTTAGGAGCCCGTATTAACTAGTAAGCTGACGGAGACTTTGTGGTGCATTAGAGTAGTTTCTGCGTGAATCGTAGATTGGACGATCTGACGTTTACAATTCCTTTTCATTTATTGCGAATTTGTAGGGAGTAACTCGAGCGATAGCCGATCACTCCAGAACTGTGAGACTTCCAGTTCATGTACATGATACACTGGGTCGCATCAGGAAGGCAAAGTCGACACTGCTGTCCGAAGGTTGTACCGCGTCTGTCCAGGTACAGTCTAAAGATTTACGCTATGGCCTTGAGATATGTGATGTTGCCTAAGCACTTGATTTCTTGTTTCACTATTGATACTGAAAACTATCTTCGTTTATGTTCCAGGAAATTTCAGAAGCGACGAATCTGACTGGCACTAAAATAAAGAATACATTGCAGGTATGAAAGAATCATTTAGGTCGCTGCGAGTTTTTTTTTTTTTTTTTTTTTTTTTTTGTAAATCTTCCCTGTATTGGTTTTGGAGTGTAAAGAACTAGCTGAGAAGGAAATGAAGTTGATTGTTCTTATGCTTAAGGTCTAGGTTTTAATACTGCCGTGTGCCGTGAGGGTCTACTCAAAATATCCCTTCTGTTAATTCGTTTCCTTGTCACGTGAACGTCTATTATCGTATTCATATACTAGTTTCTAAATGAAAGCGTAGGTACTGGAAGTTGAGTTACATTCCGCTGGAAATATGTTTTCCAACCACATCACTTCTGACTTGTTGGTCGTCTTTGCCAGGTGACTAAGAAGCTTGTTTCTTTGGATAAAGAAATAGGTCGAAACACTCTTCAGAGCGGTGATGGAGAGACGCTTCATAGTGTAAGTTGATTCTTTCATTTGTAAGGCACATGACGTGCTTATTTCTCTTTTGTCATCAGCTACTCATACCTAGCATTTTATTTGTATCGAAGGGATTAGAGGCAACCATTTGGCTGTATTACATTAGAATATGTTGCGAAGGTGTTGCGTCACCTGATCACTCTGAGTGATTTCCCTGCGTGTTACTAAAACATATTTGTGTCACGAATTCAACAGTTGGTGGCCGACAGGGACATCGAAAATCAACCTTGGACAATCGTAGAGAGAATGCTTATGAAGGTATGTTGGAGATATTGTTTCTACATAATATGGCAGTTCAATTTACAAGTATATGCGCAATTTTGTTATTGAAGAGCATATGACAGCTAGGAATGTATCTTTTGTCGGCAGTACGTGCAACTTATTATCTTGATTGGCTGCAGGATGATGTAGATAAATTACTTACTTCTCAGCTAGGCCCTAGGGAACGAGATATTGTACGACTTCATTATGGAGTGGGCCGAGAAGATGGTTCTGTTATGTCACTAGAGAGCATCAGTTACAGGTGCGTCCTGCACTTCAGAACATTAGCAGCTTACTTCCATTTTCACCCCGTAGGTTTAAAGTTTGGGGTTTACAACCGAAGGGTCCTCATTTTGTGGTTGGTGTCGTATATTTTGTTTTTCTTTACTGCGTCGTCGTAGGAGTAGATCATACATACCGCCTCTCCTTGTGAGGCAAGGGACTAAATTGTTTTGTGGATGTTGACATCAAAAGTTAGTCAGATACCGTAGTCTCTTATGTGTAGTGTGATCTACAATTTCTTCAAATGTACAAATTTTTGTTATTAATAACTTCGATGTACACAGATACGGGGTTTCCAGAGAAAGAGTTCGGCAACTGGAGACGGCAGCCATGCGGAAGTTACAGATCAAGAGTAGAGAGCAAGGACTGGACCGCTATTTACATTCCATGCAATAGCCTCTATCCTGTACTCATACACTGTATCTTGTATCAATCCTTAGCCATCTCCTGTGTACTAATTCATTATACTGCATTCATCTCATCGTGATCTTGAGATGTGTGCATAACCGTTAAGACTTTTGGATGGATTCATCTGTTGGGTGCTTCATCCGAAAATCCGATGTGACGACATTTTCAGTAGTGTAGAAACTCGAGAGACAAGTGAAAGCGTCAGAAGACAGGGAACAATTTGTAAGTCCAACATATCATAAATGTATATTGTGATTATCTCAACTTTGAAGCTAATTTGACAATCCGATTTCAATATTAGCCTGAGTACTTTGCGAACTCTGAACTTTGTAACTGAATGCAGAAGCTGGCGAACTTTGTGTTGAAGTTGATGAATCTTGTTCACGTTCCCTTTCTCATTCAGGAATTTCCTGATATCATGCGGTCTGTTGTAATGTTGTATGAGAGCCCTCAGATTGTATTAAGACTCTCATCCAGTGTTTGCGTGGATGTACACGAGATTCCTGATGCCCCAGTTTTCTGGTCCTTGGTATCTATTTGTATTGTAGTGTGTTGCACACTTTTTATGGCGTTGTTTTCCATATCTTTTCTACTTTAGTTGAATTCCTTCGATTGAGCTACAGGTGTGGATAATATCGCTGTCAATTAGCCTTTTGAAAAAAATTGCTTTCAAAGGCCATTTCCATTATATTATTCTCATTTAACTTTAGAGAGTGGTGGACTGGTGAATCTTCCAAATGAATATCTCACTGGCTTTTATGTCTTTTACTAAAAAACTATTGTCCACGTTATCATTTTGGTATCAAAACACTAAAAATGACATTTTAAAAGACAATATAGCTAAACTGAATGCAACAAAATCACTTTAAGTTTAAATATAATTAGAGGAGTATAAGGAACAGAATCACTTCTTTCAACTTCCATTTTTTTGAATAAATTTCTTATCTCATTTCTCTAGTCCAAATAAACATATGTATCATAATATGTTCAAACTAAGTAAATTGAATATTGATGTTCTCTTTTAAATAAAACATTAAATGTGCACTTATAAAGTTTAAAAACACTTCCTTATTTACTATAATATATATTTATTATTGTTTTGCATGCTACAATTAATTTGTAAACTTGTCAATAATAAACTTTTATTGAAAACTTCAACTTTCACCCACAACTTTTAAGTTTCATTGCACTAATGTTTATGAATATATAACATATTTTATTTTATTTTATTTTTAAAAATATTTGTATAATAATTAGTAGTATTGTTATGGTAAACATATTTTGACATTTTAAGTGATGGAATATTTCTTTTAAGTTTTGCCATTATATGTATGTATGTATGTATGTATGTATGTATATGTAGAGAGAGAGAGATGTATTTCTTTGCTGCAAAATTTATTAATTAATTAAAAATACTAATCAATTTTAAAAAATACAATTCTTAATAATCAACATACAAATTTTACATACAAATTTATTTTCAAGTTGCATTTTAGGTGCCAACTTCTAAACCTTTATACTAAGTGTCTATTCAATACATATATAAATAAATATTTATAAATTATAGATAATATTTTTATATTTTATATTTTTTGAAGCCATATATAAGACGTTACACAAACTATTTTGTATTAAATATTTTCATTTTTTTATAGAAAATTATTAACAATACATCTCCAATTGATATTGCATCACCTCACATGATTTCCACATGACTTAAATATACTAAAAAGCATGAAACTTATATTGACTAAATATAAAAATATATTTAGACACTATTGGGGTTATATGTTGAGCTGCCAAACATGCCCTAAGCTATTATAATACAAATAGATACCACGAATAAAAACACAAACAAACCTTGAATTTACAAATTTTAAGACAAATATTATGCTTTTTAACAAAAGCAGCTTGCAACTTTTTTTTTCATAGAATATTCATTGCCTCCTTTTCAACCACCACTATTTCTTAAATCAAATAAAGAAAAAAAAAATACAAAAAAGAAAAAAATATATTATTAGCTAGTTGTCTATGAGGAGGTCATATGGGGTGTAGTAGTATCAATTAGGGATGTAGCATTAACAATTTTCTTTTTATATTGTCCTCTTTCTATTCCAAATCCTATATTTTATAAAGAACTTGATATCTTTGTGGAGTAGGTAATAGGCTTTAATAAATTATATTATTCTATTAAAAGAAACAAAATAAAAACTAATAATACAAAAAAAAAACAAATATAATACTTAATTTCATTACATAAAAGTAACACTTGATAATTAATTTCTATGGAGTTTTATTTTGTGTTGAAAATATTTTACACTTAAAATAGCCGAGTAAATACAATACCATGTTCTTATTTATTCATATTAACTAAAAATGTTTATAAAACTAATATGTCAAACTATGCATATATAGATGTATGAAAATAACCATGAAAATAACACATTCTTTGTAATAAATATAAAATATTAAAACAAATAAATAACAAACAAAAATCAGAGGGCATTAGTATAGAAAATCAAGTGGAAATTCACCTTTATTCCTATCTAGTATATACAAGGCCCCACACTACTAACTCCAAAAACTTCCACCCTCTCTCACATCTATAAACAAAAGTTCCAACAAGAAAATCACATTTTTAATTCTACTTTACACAATTTAGGTTTTCAAGTAGAGGTTGGGCAAGTATGACCTCACAAGTCAGTTGATTAAAAAGGAGTGCAACACTATTGCTTTCCCCATTCACACCATTTTTTTTTTTTTTTTTTTTTTTTTTTTTTTGTGTGTGTCCAGTACAGTATTGGTTTGGATCAGGGTCCCACTTATTGGCTTTATGATTCAACAAAGAATCAAACCGTGAGCCAGAAGACATAAATATCCCTTTTCACACTAGGCCGTCCCCACCCCCTTTGAACTGCTTTTGCCCTCATCATCAAGTCCCATGACGTGGCTCCCCTGTGAGGCTGAGTCAGCAGGGGGCCTCAAGCATCCACACGTTCTGACATTCATCCGAAAACTGGATGGATGATAAATCCATTCCTACCACTCCTCATCCATTCAGCTTGACCATTCTGGTAAGTGGGTGGTGTAACTGAGAAGGGCAGAGAGAAGAGGCAGTTTCCGCATGGAATTCGCACAGGGAACATGACGACCGAGACATAGATCATCCCACTGGCCTCATCCACTAACATGGATAATACCATGGAGGCCATGGGTAGTTGTGCCAGTCCCCATCTCTGCTGGCCTCTAGACTGACCATAATAGGGGGCCATTTCCATCTCATGATCCTGAAGAAAATAAATAAAAAATACAAAAACCCTAAAAACCCAAACCCCTCTAACCTGTGATTAAGAGTGAGGAATCTTATGAACAGAGCTCAACTACCCTTTACACTACATTCAGGACAACAACAATGCCACCCATATATGTGTGTATATTAAATGAGAAAAGTAATAAGACATGGGGGAGGAAGATGTGGGCCCTTAAGGATGATGCAAAAATTGTTGTCAACAAGCAATGGCAAGAAGGGTTGCCATTGGTTTTCTTGAACAGCATGTGTTGTGAAAAGGAGGGGCCCACTTTTTTGTAAGAGTTCATTTCCCCCAAGAAAAACTTTAGTCAGATCTGAAATCAGATTGTGTTTTGGGCCCCTTTTAGGTTAGTTGCTTTTCTTTGGGTGTGGAAATAGCAGTTCTTTGGACCTGCTTTGACACTACATTGCCAGCTGCCTTTCAACATGTTTCCCCTTTGTTAAAACTGCTGCTAGGCTCTTTCTTTCATGAAGAAAAGGTTGTTGTTGTTATTGTTATTGAGATGAATAAAATCCTTTCAAAAGGCCACACAGTTCTTGTGCTGATTGGCATGTGATGCTGGGAATATAACTAGTTGTGCAAGCTTAAAAGTTCACATGAAAAGCGTGTTGTGGAATACAAAACATGAACTTGACACATCAGCACATGGTGCATAACTTGTCGAATACATTGCTGCAAGTGTGAATATTACTTAAATATCAACACTCTTGCAATTCCTTGGGTTTTTTTTTTTTTTTTTTTTTTTTTTTCTTTCTAATACTCAGATATCGATACTTTAAGTGGATATATATTTTTTCATACACAATCAAACATATGCAGAATGAAAGATTTAAATACAAATTAACTAAATAAATTTGAGTTATTTAACACATTCCACTTCTTCTAGTTTGAAAAACAACTGAAGTGATAGTTTTAGATCATTGTTTAAATTTCAGTGATATTTGTGTTGTTACAAATCAAAAGTGCTATTGAAAGTTAACATTGTGCAGTAAGTTATACATGTAATATATACCAAATTAAAAGAAAAATGAGGTTCCTGGAATGGTTCTGTACAACAAGATATGCCAATGAAAGGACAACACTTGGTCGCAGAGACGGGGACGGGTTACCGGAGAGCGGGAAGAGGGACCGGTGACCGTGACTTGCAATGGGAGCTTGCTCTCCTTGCAGGCCGTGGCCTTGTGTTGTTTGTGCGGCTCGCCACCAAAGCCGAATTCAGCCCCAGAGCTCATCCCTTATTGTTCGCTGCCTCCCCTGCACGCTTCCACTGCAATCAATCGTCGGCACGCCATCCCCGCGTGCTATTACGCCTTAGGAATCATTGGCATCGCCTGCACTCCTGCTCCTCGGATTCTTCAGAGTCTGGAACCAAGCGCGCTGTAGAGAGGAGAGGAGAGGAAATGAAAGGAGTGAGAGGATGACCGGGGTGGGAGAATGAGTGGGACGAGGGTGGTGCGATGGCGTGTTAGAATTTCAGCGGTGCGGGGGAGATTGTTTATTTTTATATTTTTATGCGGGATGGAGAATTTGAGTTGGAATTCGAGCGATGGAGCGTGGTGAATCGCAGGATGCGAGTTTTTATTTTTGTTTATTTTTGTAGTTTTGTGATCGAAGTTCAGCGCCGTGGTTGTAGGGTTCTTGAGTTGTGATATTGAGGGCATGTTGAAGGTGTAATTGAAGGAGGATTCTTAGATTATAGCAGCGCGGCGATTCGGTTTGAATTTAGATCAGTTGTCGGTTGACAGATTCGTTCCTGATTTGCGTGCGGAAGATTTGAGAGGAAACTGATGGCCTTTTGTAGTGCAGCGATATTCTAGATTTGCGAATTTGCGATGCAGGCAGTCTACAAAGGCCATTGTAGGATTGAATTGCGTGATTGTGGCAGCAAGCACGGTCGGAGTACTAGGAATACTGTTATAATCTTTCGAATCTCAGCGTAGGGCACGTCAGAAGGTGCTGATTTTTCTTGAATCGGGTAGCTATGGCATTTCCTGAATATTCGACACACTTGTTACAAGGTGGAACGGCGAGTTGATTTCTGCAGATGTGCTCATCACCTTCAATTGAAGTGTTCAGAATATTCTGCGGGGGGGTGGTTTTGCTCTGGGACAGGTTGGTTAGGTTCTCGTGCGTTGGCTGGGGGTGCTTTGTACTGGAAGATGTTAGTATTCGAAGGCAGCAGCCTTTATATCGATATGCAAGTGAGGTCATTCATGGGAAGGTCTTTAGTGTTGAGACGAATTGTAGTCCTAATGTCATGCAGAACTAGTCCCAGTTGTTTTGGCGATTAATTCTAGAGCTTTCGTCTTTTTTAATTTCAGAATCGAAGAGAGAGAGGCACGAAGCGTTTAGTTGTCCTGACAGGTATCGAACAGGTTTTGGATATGGAGTATGAGAATTCCAGCATCGTACCAACTGAGTGTGAGTATCTCCTCTCTTTACTTTTCTCGTGATAGTGTAGTGGGTTTTTATTTTCTTACACCTTTTTGCTTGTGAGCATTGAACTGCGTCCTTTACCAAATAGCTTCTTTATCTTCCAACTTTCTCATCATCAATTCTCATGTTATCATCCTCTCTCCCTTTCCTCCGTTCTTTATGTGAAGCAACTTGTGAAGAGAGAATCAGAAGCTGGGATCTGTAGTAATGCTTACGTAACTGTTTCATGAGTCTTCATGTTTCGTGATTTTATATTATGAGTTTTCAAGGATGACTCGTGGATCGCCGTCCTTGTGTATTTTCACTTATTCAAATCAATGGTCACATGAGTATACATGTCTACATAGAGGCTCTTCTCTGTGTGTAGTCGTATTGGGCTGTCACAGGGTTTGGTGCCGCTGTATTTCGTAATTTTAGGTCATAATAAAATAAAACTTTCGATCGGGTGTTACAGTTTGTTTAGCTTCCCTACTGGGACGAGTGAGCATACATTCTTCTTCGTTGGGATTGTAAAGTTTGTCTACAGTGAAAAGCACGCGTCTTGAATAACAGGAGCCACTTTGCCTTAAATGATCCTTGGCGATTGTGGAAGTGGTGTACACCTGGTCGAAGTCGCTGAATGATATCAACATTCCAGACTTATGTGGAAGTATCTATCCAGAAAATTTTGACTTGGACATCTAAAACAAAGTGGTATGCATTTGTTTTGCAGTTAGCATATCCTATTTGGGAGAGTACTTGTACTCCATACTATCCAAGAGAGTAAGCATTCCTGCTACCTGTATTTCCCTTACAACCTTCTTATGCCAGATTGATGTGATAAGGGAGCTGCCTCTGCAACATTTTTGACGTGTTTGGAAGCCATGTTTGTCAGCAGCTAGAATTTGCTGGGTTGATACAAGATCATTGTGATTGTGATTGTTGCTCCTACTTTCTGACTGTTCGGGACTTAATAAATTGGGTGCAGGTGGAAGATGCTTATGATGTGTTGTATAAAATTGTTCGAGAGTGGAGTGTAGACTTTGCTGTGCAAAAGTGAGTCTTCATTTTGAAGCAAAAATATGTTCTTATTTCAAATCATACTGTTGCATGTGTTCAGTATACCTCCAGATGATTCTGATGAATTCGTTCCCAAAATTGGCTTGATATTTTGGCATATGCTGCGTATTAGATTGATAGTGTTTAGACCGTAGGGATATGCAAGAGTTGTAATTGATGTGTCCATGGATTTGGTGTCTGTTTTTGTGGACAGGTTGCTCAACCTCATGGTGAGTGTTTCCTTATGGAATTCCGTACTTGCTGCTTTTAGACATTTCATTTCACAATCTTCAATGTAAAGAGGGGTTGTGTTGGTATCAAGGATAAATGTCGAACAGTTCTGAGCTTAGTTGTTCGTCTTCCTTGAATATGACAATACTTGACTGCTTGATATCTTGCTTTCATCGGTGTGTGACTTGAATTTTTCTGGTTGGTGCAGGTTTTGATCAATCCTTGCTTGAATCGTCATCGACGAGCTCAGCTCGAGGTTATCTTTCGACCATTGCTAATTTTTGAAACTTTTAACCTACAACCTGTAAAACTATCTGAAGCAGACTGAACGTATTTGTTCTTATCACAAAATGTATCGTAGTGAAGTGCTAGGTTGCGCTTTCTAGGAATCTTGAATCAAGACAGCCTTCAGTTTGAAGATTTTGCAGAATGTTTCTAACAAATCATCATTCGATCTGGGCTGTTGGATAAGTAGCTGGCAAATCAACTAAGTGAATTTTGAAATTTGGAGGATGAGGCTAGATGGGCTTACTTTATTTGATAAGAGTTCCTTTCTATGTGCAGCCTTTGTTGACCAGATCTTTGGACCAGCTATTATGGCAACGGGCCATGGATCCCCGAGTCATGAGGTATCAAACCGCAGACATCAATGTGAATTAAACTCCTCTTTTTAGCTGTCGGCAGTCTTTGAAGTTATCATTGCACCTCAGAGCTTCCTGACTTGGTGCAATGATTGCGATTTCAGGGGACTTATCACTTTGGCATGTCCTAATCAAGACACTGCTCTTTTATTTGGTTATCTGGTGAGTGTTTTGGATCTTTCTTTTTTTTTTTCTCTTTTTTTTTTTTTTTTTTTTTTTTTTTTGCAATTGATTGAGGTGGGTAGCTACTAATAAGTTAAAGTTGAGGGTCTTATATCGCCAATTGCTAGTCAGGGTAGTCACTCTGAAGTACGTAATGATATCAGTTTTCTCAAACCAGTAGTTTTTGCATGAACGCACGGAATGGTGCCTTCCCTCATGAGAGCTTCAACTTGTAGTTGGCGTGATTTGTTAAGTTTGCATGTAGCTTGAGTATATGCATTGGGCAAAGCCATCAGGTGTCTACTGTTATCAGGTTCTCAAATTGTTGTCTTGTGAAGATTTAATTCCTAGCTGGTGGTTGCTTATATTGTTTGCTGCTTATTAATATTATCTGCTCTATACAGATGGAAATCATTGCTGGTCTTGTTTGCAATAACCCAACACTTGAAGAAAATTCAAAGAACATTGATGTTGAGGCTGCATCATCGAACACATTGCAAGTATGTGCCATGTACAGCATGTTTTTTGACCTAAAGATGGGGCAATTGAAGTCTTCTAATAGTTCCAGTGTCATATTGAGCTACAACGACATAATTTCTGTACCCTTTTTACACTTTCTAGTTCTGTAGGAAATTGTGTGCGACGCTTGGCAGTGCTCGTAGTCCCACTCATCAATGTATCACAATACTAAACTACTTGAGACACTTGTCAACTTTTGATGTCACGATCTTATTTTGTCCTGTGAACTTGCAGATACCTCACGAAAAGGCGAAGGTGGCCCAGTGTTTGTACCAGAACTACTGCCTTCAGCAAGTTTACGTTGCAGCAATGCCATCGTTGGTAATTAAACCTCTACTAAGGTCCTGCTACGTTCTGTATGGAGATTCTATAGCTGTGGGATAAGACCCCTGTTTGACCCTCTATGGTACCTTGAATATAGAATAAGTTAATGAATAAGTTATGAATGATCATTGATTGATTGGGTTCGAGTTCATTGTTCTTTTGTGATTTATAAGATTCTAAACGAAACAGAACCCCTCCTTCATATCATGTTTTCTAAGTATACGATATAAGCAAAGGAAATGCAGCAAAAAGAGTGAATAAGTTTTGGTGGTGATTTTTCTGCCGCCCTGGCATTCTGTCTCTACTTGTACGATTTTGCATGTTCTGATTTCAAAGTTTGTTAAGCAGCGAAGCGTCAGTGAAGACACCTGGTAGTGAGATTAGTTTTATTTTCCATCTTGGGTTTCAGGTGAGAGAAGCTGTACTTACAGCCTTGATGGGAGGTTCGGAAGTTCCATTGTTGGGGTCGGGGTTTTTCGACGGTTCTCCAAGTGGTCTCCAACATGCGGCTCCTATTTGTTGCATCACTTTAGAGCCTCTCTTGTGCCCAGTATGTGTCCTCTCCCGTCATCCTTCACACTTTTGTTGAATGATGCATCCTATTTCCTGTTTTTCATCTATTGAGTATATTCTTAGATATCGTGTTGATCTAATGTTGTTTCTTGGTTGTAGGATGGCACGATTGCGCCTGATGTTGTGGCAGTGATACAACGTAGTTCAACACTCAGCACACAACATGCTGTGAGTAGATTCTTGGCATCATTTTTCTATATTGATGCAGTTTCAATTTCTTGCTTGATTTCATACACATTGTAACTTTTATGAAAAGAAAATAAAGGTCGCTGCCTTAGACGTGTGATATCGTGGTGACCTTTATTAGCTTCAAAGGCGTCCCGACTTATCAACTGCTTCTGTGTGAAATGAGCATAGTAGCACTAGATGTTTTATCCACCGGAGGTTTTTCTTGCTTAGGGGCATATGGTACCAATCATTTGGATCGCCCCCGTGGTCTGATGTGAAAATACTGCATGTTTCTTGCAGTTTCTGTACCGGGGGCGTGCACTTTTCGAGTGGCTTAGCTCTTCTCCAGTTCCCAAGAGCCCAGAAACGCGAGCTATGGTCTTGCCAACTGACATATACAGATTATCTTAATCGTGCTGAAGACGATCCTTTCTATTTGTGCCCGTCATCAGCCTTACTCGTCTCTTTCCTGCAGGTTGCAATGTTTGGCCATCATACTCGTCAGAATAGTGGAAACTTGGAATCGCAAATTTCACTTGGCTGTTGATAAAGAGAGGACTGCAGGAAGGTCAGCAGCTTCATATACCATTTAGATTGTACTATATACTTCATAGATTTAGCACCTTAAAATTGTGCTGTTCACAGTTGGCAATTTCCTCAATTTGCCCAATTTGCCCAGTGGGAGGTGAAATTGTATAGATTACCACTTATCATTGATTTAGATTGAGAAGACATTGTTGTGTCCAGCTCTAAGGGTTTGCAAGCAACAGTATAGTACCCACGCAGCTGGTGGGTTTTTTAAAGAATGACTGGAATCCCCCTCATTTATTTTTATCGATCGTCATTGTTAGTGAGATTTGGATAATAGACTAGCAAAAATTATCCACGTCAAGGTCTTCACGTAGTAATGCAGATCTTCTGTGAGTATCATTGTACAACTCTATGATTATGTAATGTGTAGATTAAATCCCAAGTTGAGCTGAGAAATACTACCTTCGTATAGTTCACCATCAGACTGCAGAGAAGTCGCTTTTCCTTTGACTGTTCTATGCATGGTTTGAAGACATCAAATGTAGAAGACAGGCACTGCTTCCCATGCGTACTGTGTGCAAAGCATGCCCAGTCTCTCATGTGAGTAACAGACATGGGTTCTAAGTTAACTTTCCTTGGATGTTGATTTACAAGCCGTGGTGATGTTGTGAAGCTTCATCTCCCATCTGGGAGGCTAGGCTAATCTTCCCCCAGGCTAGGACTTGGGTGGGGGATGATTAGGATTTTATTTTATTTTTTAAAAATTTTGGACAACTCTGGTTTTGTTTTGACATGCCTGTCCATGTTCACCTGCACAATTTGGGAACCCAGAGCCTAAGGGGAGGTTGAATGAAAGATGAAGGGCAGATGGAAGAGAGTGAAGAGAAAGAAGGGTTGCCAAAATTCAATTATAAACAAACATAGATCATGCATGTCTGTGCTAGGGCTACGAACTATAGACCATTTGATTCTATAGAGTCATTTTTTAAACCAGTATTGTTTATGAAGTTTTTTTAATCAAATTAGATCCCCTTTTTTTTCTGTTTACTTTTACAATTTACATTATTTTAGTGTACCTTTGTTTTTCGTTAATATTTGTATGTTTGTTTATATATATATATATATATATATATACATATACACACACATACATTCATATCATTTTGACATTTCTGTAAATGTATTGAACTACTGTTGCAAATAAAACAAGAAGATAAAAATAAAACCTAGACATATTTTGCATCTTTGATGTTCACAAAAGTAGTACCCAATTTGTGAATAAGATGTCATATTCTTATTTCTTCATTAAAAACACCTAAACCATCATTCAATCTGCTTCATTCATCTCTATAATACATTTAGTTAATAGCTCTAATCAACAAAGAACAACCTCTATCACACACTTGATAGGATTGTACCATGAATAATATGATTAAAAAGGTAACTATCACTTATTGAATTGTACAATATTATTGACTATCATGACATGTAGTCTTTTGGCAGCACAAAGACCTACCAAAAGAGTGCTCATTTTGCTCTATACAGATCAAATCAAATCACATATTCACAGACCAAAACATAGATATGAGGTACTTCAATTTAATTTAAATTTAATCATAAAACAATTTAGATTATTTTTTGTTTAGCTAGTTCCCGAACCTAATTGTTGATTGATATTAGATTCTGTGAAGAAGACGTAAAGAAAAAACTTACATCTATTATTCCACAATTGTTTCAATTTATTAACATCTAATGGAGATAGAAGTGGTGACTGTGGATGCATTTTTATGGGCTCAAAGGCCAGTAATCACATTCCATCTCGGGGACATCCAAATAGGGAGGATAGAATCATGGCTATGGATTCTTCCCCTGACTCCATCTTTCGAAAGACATCTGTCGCTCTTGAATTCCAGCCTGTGACAAAATTATAGTCTGACATTACATACAGTTGTCTTCCTACACAAAGCTCATTCTGTAAAATATTGATGATTCCCAATCAAGCACGAGCTGGTAAGGCATAATCAGAGAAGGCGGTAATACCTATTAGATGTTTGAGCTATGGTTTCTCACAGGTCTCACATGACTTCGAATAGCAGTTCATATTACAATTAATTGCCAAGGCTCTGCAGTTGCCAAGGTGTCATGTATACATTTAGACGAGATGGTATGTTCTGCACACGCTAATGAACTTTCCCCTGTCATCAGTTTTGGTGCAATCCATCACCAAGTAAAATGATTTGATAGTGAATAAATCTCTTCTGGAGAGAACGAAACCTTCGAACTGGGTGTAATGTCAAATACAGGAAGCTCTCCACAATGCCAAAAATGATTTGCCATGTTTCAATCCTAAAGAATCGAGGATTCTGCAGAGGAGGGTCTGACAACTTCACACAGGCGACACAGGCAATCAGACTAGCATTAATAGCCGCATCTACAGAAACAATATTCCAATATATTCACACAGCAAGTTGTGTGACAATATCAAACATGTCACATGCTGGTTTGAGGTCAACTAGAATGCAAGCAGTAGTAAAAGCAATCAAACTTCCAGTATATGATAACGGTGAAGAAAGTAACGATTTAGTCTGGTCACAGTTCAAATGAAATCACCAAGACAATGTCACATATCTCTGGCTACATTGTTAATCTTCATTTCCAAGTAAAAACTGCAGAGTGAATAGTAACTAATGATCAAGCTTTCAACATCTACACTTTCCCCGAAGTTTATTTCATGTTGTAAGCTAGAAGTACAAGATAGAAAGTCGGGACAAAACTGCCTCGTGCCTAGGGCGGTATGAGAAGAGCGCCCTAGAATCCATCCATATAAATACAAATATGAAAAACTCATCCCCCAGTTATGAATCAAATCATAGGATCCGACCACTTCCCAGCTCTCACCAGGGGTGGTCAAAGTGCTTAAGAACACAATGTTATCTGAGCTCCCCTATTCCTCGCTTACACACACACGCCCAAGATAAAACGAAACGCAGTTGCTGAAGTGCTGAAGCTAAAACAGCAGCCACCTTCATAAGCTATGAAGACGCATACGAGCAAGCCAGTTGTTGTACTTTCCATTGCGTTGGCCCCCCGACAGAGAACTTAAAAGTACATGCCACGTTGTCACTGAATTTGTTCTTAAGCATCTGCCCCATCACATAAGCTCGTGTGAAGACTGTGCCGTCCAGTTTCATGTCCACACCACCACCAGGTGTACTATATCTTTCATTAAAACTCGGCCCAGCCCCATGAAGGAATTGCTTGTCAACTGTGATGGCTACTATCACTCTCTTTGTAGACCCTTTCTCCAAATAAAATGAATTAAGCTGTGCACACCCCACCCCCACCTTGTAAGACTCTACTCGAAGTAACTAATTTTACGTGCTCAAAGCAAAATGTCCTGTATTTGCCTCGGCAAAAAAGCCCTTGCTCATACATAACGAGCAATAACCTTAGATTGAATCTGAGACAAGATGTTGGGAAGTTTGGGCATGCTTAAGAAATTTACCTGGCCTCCGGCTAAGGTTAGATCGAGGTACTTGAGGCCAACAGGAGATGCTTTGACGTGGTAGCCAAAGAATCTAGAAGGATTGTACAACTGCAGTGTTGCAGTGGAATTAAGAGAGACGACCATCGTTGGGACGCCTGAGTAGTCTACGCCGTCGTCTAAACCGAAGTACGAAAAAGCCACATTCTGCACAAATCAAAATCATATGTTTCTATGAGGGGTAATGAGGTCCAACTTTGACCCAGAAATTTCACGAGTATCAAAAGGCGCAGTGTAGAAGACTCTGCGATGAGAACATAAAAATACGAAAAGCGTCCAAATAGGAGGCGTACATCAAGGAAGACGCAGAAACAAATTGAGTATAGAGACATAGGAGGAGCACTAAGCTGATAAAACCAGAAATCTACAGAACAAGCTGGGAACTGTCGACGCCAAGGTTCTCTATAATTTCATCAATAGTAAACCCCATTCAATGACCAAATTATCTGCCATCCAACCCTTCGTTCCGAATCAGTGAAGGCCCAGTATTTTTCGAGTACGGCACACCGCTAAATTACGCTTGAATAAATGTGAGATATTGAAACGTGCAGGCCTCCTCACACGGGAAGATCTTTCTGCTACTGCGAGAAGATAACACAAACTCGACCCAAGAACGTAGAACACTTGATTTACAAAATAAGCAAATAATAAAAAAAAGGAATTTATCACTGGAAAAATGGCTGAAGATTATGAGTCCCTGGAAACCACTGCTAAAAGCAGCCTGAAAAAGTTGCAACGTTAGCTGCGTTCCCGAATATCTATTTCAGGAAAATTAGAAAACACTTTGATTTTCATGTCCCGAAATCACTGCCGAGGAATTCTACACAGGAAAAATCAAGTTGACAGAGTAGGAAAAAGAATTCTCGTTCAATTCTCACTACATAGTAGTCATGGGTGAGCAGGAAGGTCAAGTATGCTGGTCTCGGTATAGAACCAGGTTTTTTTTAGGTTCGTAAACTTGTCAAGAACGACTGATGGGACATGTTTACTATGCGTTTCAAATAATTAAAACCTAAAGAATATTTCTAAAAAAAACACAAACACGAACACACACACACTACGATACTGTGACTGAAAACAAAATTTTCTGAATTAAAGAGGAACTCTGTGTTTGGACATGTGATCAACTACATTGACTGGTGGAGCCCTCCTGAGTTCCTACGCGGAAAATTTAAAGGTTGAGATATCTTTTTCGAAAGAAAATGCTCACGGGCAACACACCCAATCCGGTTTGAAATCGTTACCGGTTACTCGAAGTAGCTTGATGAGTTTGAAGTAAAAGAACATGCACTAATCATGGTGCTCAATAATTGATGGTAGCAACGAGGTTCAATGTCACAGGTGATCCACAGCACAATATGCACATGAAATATTGGAAAACGGGTTGGAAGAGCTTTAAGCGTACCTGCACAGTAACGTGGGGATGCTTGGGCATGGTAACTAGCCAGAAGAGCAAGGCACCAGCGAAGAACATGACGATTGTAAAAAACATGACAATCCAGATCAAGCAACATCGTGAGAGCTTCTTCTTCTTCTCTCCCTCAATGTCTTCCTCCTCTTCAAGAATAGTACCAGGTGCCCACGGTCGGTAGCCCTTTTTAGCGTTCGGCCCCGCGACGTAGTTTGGTTGCGGCAACACCCTGCGAGAGCCGGGCTTCAGACTGTGTGCACTGAACGGTATAGAGTCTGTAGAAGCGTTCTTGAAGTGCTTGTGATGCATGGGGCTCGCCAAGGGGCTTTCCCGCGGTGTGGCGCGCGAGAAACTCTGCGAGAGCGAGTCCACGTCCTGCATGGAGTCTCGAGAAGGAGATTGCACGAAATACACAGGGTGCCCATGTCTGGGTGGAGACATGGGTGGCGAGTTCACCAAACTGGCATCGGAATCGAATGACGCCCGCATTCTGCCATACCTCGACATGATAGCAAAGTCTCTCTCCCCTTAAAGCTAACTAAGTACACTTAACCCACAGCCGCTTCGAAAGCTACAATGTCCGTCCGAAGCCACGCGCAAGTGGAAACGTTTATACCCTACCAAAGTTATTAATTGCAGAGATCCCAACCACAATAATATTAATAGTGAAGTTGCGTTATTCAAAACACGGTGCTCTTGGGGCTCATTTGTGATGGGTACTGGACACGCTGCACTAACGTGAAATTCGGCCGTTTGTAGTTGTTAACTAGTTCCAAATCTCTGAGGAAGCAGGGAAGGCGTCAGGAACACCTCTAAGGTTCAAGCTGGTTCACAGGATGAGAACAGTGCGGCGCACGAGACATAAAGGAGATGGGAAGTCAGTGCCGTATTCAAAAGAATCAGAACTGGCCAGCATCCTTGATTTCATGGCGATTACTTCTAATCAAAGGCACTCCTCAAGTCCGACTACCTCTCCAGTTGAACTCGTAAGCACTACATTCCTGCATGCACAAGCAGCATCGACTTCATTGGTAAAACCCAATGCGCAGTGCACACTCCACTCGTACTCTTAACATACAGCATAAACTCCTTCACACAACAACCTTCAAACTCCTCTCGGACTCTGCAGAAGCACAACATGCACAAACCGTAGTAACCTACCTTACTGAACAACACACAGAAGAGCCAACGCAGGTTGCGGGCAGCCTTGTACAACACCTCGTAGAAAACACACTACCCAAATACCTACTCAGTCCAAACCGAAAGACGGGCATAGCCAACTACAGAGAGAGCAGAACCCAATAAACGATAACACCTGATCGTGCTGAGCACAACCATTCCTTTTTTTAACACTCTTTTTCCCCGCTCTCTCTCAAACTCCTCCAACCGACACACAACCGCCACAAGCTCGCACTACTCAAGATCAGGCGTCTTTAAAACTCCCTGATGGTGTCTCTCACTCAGAGTTACACATGCAGCACAGACACTCTAAACTCGAGGTTTCCAGTCCACCATGCTACAAAACCCAACCCCCCCATCGAACAAACCCCAGGGACACCAACACCGAAACCCAGACCCTGATGACTTGCAGCGATCAGCCTCTCTCGCACTTAGTACCGAAACACGCGGTTCCAGGTTGGCTCTCGCTTTCTCTCTCACTCTCTCTCGCTCTCTAACTCAATTGCTGACACTAACTGATGCTGCGCCGCATTGCTTGTTGCACGAAACCAGGCCAGGTCGTAACAAAATGAGCAGCTACGGGTACAACACTATTACAAAGGGGGGAGAGAGAGAAACAGAGCAGCCGCCTCCCCACTTCACACACCGCTCCCACGGACGAAGAATACGTCCATTCGTCCGTCCTTCGCTCGTTTGTTGGTTCTTTTACTCTTCGTTCGTCGTCCGGACCAAACCCCGAGCCTCCAACGGCACTGTCGGGTTGTCCATGCCGTGGATTGCCGCAGAGGGGGTCGCAGAACCGCCCGGCGTTTGCCCCGGTGCGCCGGCCCGGCCAGGCCTGGCCTGGCCTGGCGGTGTCCCTGGCAGAGCCGCTCGTTTTACTCCAGATGGCGACAGGTTTCATTCATCTGTCCTGTTCAAGCATGGTTTCATTCATGCGTTCGTGCATTTGTTCATCCGTTATTTGTTTATTCATTCGTTCGTGGGCATTCATTTCCTGCACTTCGCATGAAGTGGGGGGCAGTTGCTATTCATGACAACACAAACAAATAAAATAAATACAAACGTCGTTCTTATGTCGTATCATTATCTCTGTTTTTGAAGCTTGTAAAAGGATAACTTACATCAATTGTGCTTCCACTCATTTTGCATTATTTTCCCAGAAAATTATAGTTCGACTTTCATCATTTCATTGCAATTAATTTAACGATATCTTTGCTGGTAACATATATATATATATATATATACTCTCTTTGGTAAAGAGTGAATTTGAAAATTAAAAATGTATTTCAAGGTGGAAATAATAATCCAATAAATATCATGGGGTTTTTTTTTATTTAACTAACTTTCATGGTTTTAGTTTTTTCTAAACTGTTGTTATAGTTATTGTCAGTTTGGAATATACGTAGAACAATGATGAATTGATTATAACTATTAGTTTTACTTAAGAATATCTTTTTGCATTTGGATGACTTTGTCCCAATTGGTGCTTGGTTTCCCAGAAAAATTAGTATAATTTTCTAATTTTGAGGTTTGATAACAATTAAAGTAGTATTAAGTTTTAGTGATTTTTTTTTAATTTATTGAAAGAAGTAGTTTAATTGATTTTAAATGATTCAACATGTGTTTTAGATTTTATAAATACACATAGGAATTTTGTGAAGATTAAAAAATTTACACAATATAAGTATAGATTTTTTTTAATATTTTATATTGTCTCAAAAAAATTAATTTAAATACACCATATTATTTCATTGATATTTTAGAAGATATAAATAATTACCCAAAATCATGCAATTGTGTGTGTGTATATATATATATACCAACATCCATACACATATTAACAATAGTATTTGTTATAAATCATTCTTTTAGAATTATAATAATAATTATTATTTTTATTGATAAGAATTATTTATTGTTTAAATATATTATTATTATTTTAATTAAGATAAAATTTACTATATAGATATTTTAATATTTTTACATGGTGAAAATTAACAATTTGTAGTAGTTGTAGTAGTTGTTTATATATATATATATATATATATATATAGATATATATCTTCTATAATTTTACCATTTTCAAAAATATGATATGCATTGTATAAATTTATTGTGGTTAATTCATGTTAATAAATCATGTTAGCTTAGGAAAATTTAATTATATAGACTTTTATACATAGTTACAGATTTTTAATTATGAAACGTTAAACTATATCAAATACAAAAGAATCATGTTTAAGCTACTTTTATTAAAGATTTATATAGTGAAATTTAAGCTTAGTTTTGGCACTATCTTAGAATAGGTTTTTAGTGGGGAGGTGCATTTGGTTAAGTTTATCTTGGCATAAAACTTTGTTAACACAACGTTGAAAATTATTATAATTCTGTAATTGCAGTAATGCAATTACTTTCTAATAAAAATTAAAGGCTTAATGAATATTTTTGTGGTATAAAATCCTTAAAATATAAAAATTATTTTCTATTTTTATAACATATGTGTTTTTCTAAATCTTATATTTTTTTTATCAAAATATACCTGTGTTAAAATAGCTTAATTAAGTAACTTCTTATAGTTTTATAAGTTTATATTTATCTTGGTATTTAGATATAGATATTAAAATTTTAAGAAAATTATATAAGATTTATTTATATATATGTGTAAATACTATAAATTTATGCATTATTCATGTCCTTTTGTTAAAATATTTCAGCTAAAATCAGCTTCATATCTAAATATTATTTTGTTCAATAGATGATTAATTCCACAACAATATCAAAACTTAGTGTAAATATGTTTTCTAATAGGTTTTGGTTTAATTCAATATTTTTGAAATTTCTAAAAATATATCAAAATTTTAAAAATAGATAGATATTTTTCAATAATAAGACAACGAGTTATAAAACTATTAATGCTAAAGTTACCATCAATCATACTTACAAATAAGTCTTAAAATGCTCTAAAGGCTTAATTTTCTTATGTGTTGGTAGAGACAATGTATAGTACAAGAGACATAACAATTGTTACAAATGTGCTTTATTTGATGATAAATAAAATCTTACATTGGCTGGTTGAGTGGATCTTGATCTGTAATAATGATCAATCCATCAAGTAATGTGTATTTGAGTTGTTTTTAAAGATACAACATCAGGACATTTAAGTTTGATTAAAACTTGAAATTATATGTATATATATATATATATATATATATATATATTTCACACATACATGCTAGTTTAAGCTACTCAAAAATTAAATATGTCAAATTCTTCAATGTATATATTATAAAATTATTCCTAATGATATTTTCATGCATTTATTGCACAATGGATCTACATAACTACAAGGCACCATGTTGGAATGGCATACGAGCTAATGAAAGCATCCAAATACACCCAATGCCAATCCACTCCATTCTCATGAAATGCCATACAAATAAAACAATAAACTATATGTTCTCATATCTATGAAAAGCTTTAATTTATTTTTTCCACTTTATTATTTATTATTAGTGGTTATTTGTTAACGATTTGCCAATTCAAGCAGCCAAATGTCATCAATTCAATGCAGTAACATGAAGTAGTATTTATTTTCATCTTTTTTTTGGGCATTCCGGGCAGTCAGGGCAGCACTCATAAAAGTAAATGAATAATTGAACAAATTGATTTATTTTATTTTATTTCATTTTATCCTTGAATGTAATTTTTCTTTCACGTGGTCGGTTCTGGGAACTACACGATGAGGCCAGGCAGACAATTTGGATGAACGGAATGATGTACTCGTGGATGACATGTGTTTTTCATTCATCTCTCACTGGCACTAAAAGAGTTGCTGCTCCCTCTACAGACCCCAAATAAATAATTTAAAAACATAAATAAATAAATAAATATGGATTAAAGAAGATGACAATGCCTCCAGCTGGCATGACTGCGTATCATCTCCCTTCCCAAGTTTTTATCTTCTTAAAATAATAAAATAATAAAAAAATGCAAAAAAAAACAACCAAATTCATTTCAATTATGTCCTCTTCAAAACGACTTAGAAACTCTTACTTTATTTTATTTTTAGTTATTGTTGTACATATATATAAATATATATATATACACACACAAAAATATATTATTTCTTGCTCTTCACCACCATTGTCTAAAAACCATTAGAGTCTTGCAAACATTGTTTTAATGTAACTTGTCCAAGTCCCATCAAGAAGGAAAACAACTCTATGAAAAAATAAAACATAAAATATAACAATGGTTTTTTTGATTGAGTGAATGTGTTGTTAATGTAGATTTAAAACACTTGAACAAAAAAAATATTGATTTGTAAAACAATATATGGATAAATAAATAAGTAAATAAATAAATGTAAGTGATAGATTGATCACCCACATGTGGATAACTGGCTGATTAAATGACAGGTTGAGGGTAAACCCATTTAATGACTTGGGCTGTTGACTTGCACCAACTATAGATAACACTAGTTTTTAAAGGTGTTGAATTCATTCATTTACTTATTCATTCATTTATTCATATCAATGTATGAACAGCACAAAACGTTTTTTTTTTTTTTTTTTTTTTTTTTTAAATTATTGATAAGCTGCATTTTTAGGTCAATGAATCTGACATGTAGTGCCTATATATATAAATAAAAAAATCATAATTATAAGTTGTGTTGAAATCAACAAAAACAATACTTTATGACATGTTTGGAAGTCCATAAAGAATATATGAATTTATTTTCACCAGTGCATGAAATAATGATAGAAAAGAGAATCATGGACTTCACACATGCAAAACTAACACTGACTATTATCTATTTGATGTTGTGGATAATTTAAAATTTTCAACTAAGGTGTGTCTAATAAGATGAAATATTTTCTTTTGAAATCTTATATTTTATTATTAATTATTTTTTTATCAAAAATATCCAAAACAATTCTAAAGTCAGTATTCATGTTTAAAAGATAAATAAAAAACCATTAGCTATTTTAAGTTTTTATAGTATCATTTGAAGGTTGCCAAGCTTAAAACCAAGAAGTTTTTATTTACTAATAAAAATTATTCTAAGTGATTTTTGGGAAGAAATTTAGATACACTTTCTACATTATCTTATTGCCTTATAATTATACAAAGATTCTAAGCTATTGTAACTATATTAGCTATTAGAAGTCTAACTAAAATATATGCTTTAAACATTGATATGTTGTATATATATATATATATATATATATTGTTTCAATATAAGGAATAAATTTCTATTTTTTTACATTAAATTAATAGAATTAATAGACCTAATTAAACTTATATAATTTTTTTCTACTTCTCAATTTTTTTATTAATATAAGATTTAATATTGATAGATTATTTTTTATAATCTATAATAGAAATTTAATTTTAAAAATGTATAAATATAGAAAATTATATCATTAAGTTTAATACTCAATCTAAAAAGATTATCTTAAGAAATTGTATTAAATTTAATTAATATATACTAGACAATTTAATCAAAATAAATTATTAAATATCTATTATTTATATAATTTTATGATATCAAGGCT